CTTTCAACTTTCACCAATTATTTAACTTTCACCAATCTTTCAACATTCATTAATCATCCTCTATATATACACATGTTGAATATCAGTTGATCACACAATCTTTCAACCTTCAATTATCCTCTATATTCACCAATCTTTCAACTTTCAAAGTGTTTTTGTTTCCTAAAAACCCTAAATATCTCATCAATGGGTGATAGAATAAGGCGTAGCAGGGTAATGCAGATGACACAATACCAAACAAGCCTTGACATTGAGGATACAGAAATGATCAACGCAGAAGCTGAACTTGAAAACTTCTTATGCAATATGAGCATCATGCCGAATGTAGCTATCTTGGTTCTATCACAGGGCATTCATTTGTGCGGTTTAATAGAGAATAGTGTCATGACTGAATGATGAAAGATTATTTCATCGAGCATCCGAGATTTCCTGATCATGATTTTCGGAGGCGGTTTTGGATGAGGATAGAGCTTTTTGATAGCATATTGAACGCAGTTGTCAATCATGACCACTACTTTGCAAGGAAGATAGATGTCGTCAACCGACAAAGTCTATCATCTCATTAGAAGCTCAAATCTGTATTTCAGATGCTAGCTAATGGCTGCTCTGCAGACTCAACTGACGAGTATTGCCGACTTGGGAGACTACTGCTATTAGGAACATGAAACGCTTATGTCAGGCAATTCAAGCCATATATGGAGCCACATACCTCCACAAGCCAAATCATGAAGACTTGAAGAGGCTTCTACGCAAGGCAGACAAAAAAGGCTTCCCTGGCATGATAGGAAGTCTTAACTGTATCCATTGGGAGTGGAAGAATTATCCTATTGCTTGGGCTGGCTAATTCAACCGTCATAACAAGCTAACTATCGTGCTCGATGCTGTGGCGTCTTACGACACATGATTTCACATGCATTATTCGGCACTCTTGGATCAAATAACGATATCGACGTTCATTGGTCTTCACCTCTATTCAATGATGTTGTCAATTGATGGGCACCAAAATTTCGGTACAAGGTAAATGGTAATAGGTATGAGGTAGGTTACTACCTGACTAATGGTCTTTATCCTAGTTGGTCTACTTTTGTCAAAAGTTTTTCTCATCCGATAGTGCAAAGAAAAAATTATTTTCGCAGAGGCAAGAGACTTACATGAAGGATATGGACAGAGCGTTCGGGATCCTACATGCTTGATGGGCCATTATTAGAGGGCATGCACGACTTTGGCATACCGAAGACCTCCATTCAATCATGATGACGTGCATAATTTTGCATAACATGATTGTGAAAGATGAGTACATCGAAATTGAAGAAGATTCAGATGAAGATGTGGTTGATGACCAACCAACACATGCAAGAGCTATTGCAAGAGATGTTGAATATCTCGCTGCAACCACATATGAGACCTGACAAGATAGGGTCACGTTGAGTGAGTATATAAGACATTTAAATAGAATTCAAGCTCCTTAAGGTCATGACACACTCCACAAGGATTTGGTTGAGCATGTATGGCGCCGAGAAGGTGAACGTTGATGATGTTGGTTTAGCATTTATGTAATAATTTTAAGTGTACTATGTTGGTATTTTCTAGTAATAAATTTAAGTGTCTTCTTGTGCAAAGTATTTTGTGTAGTACATTAGATAAATTATTGAATGGAGATTGAATTATTGAAGACATCTATTCTACATCAAAGTGTGGAATAATAAGTACAATAATTATAGAACGCATCTAGATTTATAGAAACAATAATGAATAAGCCATAAATTTAATACACACGACAATTAATAAAGTACATAAACTTAATACAAACAACAATTAATAAACCATATAAACTTAATACAATCGATAATTCATACACTACATAAACTTAATAATGATATCCACCATCTTGAATTGGTGGTGGACTTATGATATAGGGTTGAGATGATTCATCATCTTAAAATATACTCCTTGTGGCATACTTTCGCAAAATTTTCTTTTACTTACCACGTAAGAACTTCTTCCTCTCTGGAGTGTATTTGTTGAGGTCTTCCATCATGAAATTAATTTCAAACCTATCTTGCTCCCTATCCTCTTCTTCCTTCTTTTGCAAACGCATTCGGGCTGCTTCTTCTTGGCGAGCGCTATGGGTTTTGCTCAATCTTGCAATTCCGGTATCAATGTGTCCACTCATTGAATTTTGGGACTTCCCTTTTCTCTTTGCTTCCTTTTGCTTATCTCTTCCCAGAGGCCTTGCAAAAGGAGTTGGGGTCATTTCATCGACACCTTCATTGACACCTTCATCTCCGACATTTGTCGGTGCAGCTTCATGTTGAAATAATCTTCCCCATTGTTGGTCCGCATCGATTCCCCACCTCGGACAATCTTTAATGACGTCCCAAGCATGTTTCAACTTAAAAACTTAATTTTTTGGTGTTACTCTTGTCTTGTAAATTTCCATTGCTTTGTCACCCTATGCAAAAAATACATAAAAATAATTAGTTGCAAAATAATATTATGTACATGATAAATAAAATATCAAGAAAAAAACTCATAACTTTTGCGGCGCTCTTTCCATTAGCCATGCCAACCACGACTCTCTCCAAGCTTCCCTTTCCATAAAGTGCATGTTTTGTTGATAGTCTTCCACCGATCGTAAACACCATCACTGTCCCTCCCGCTGTCGTTGCAGTTTTCATGAAACTTTTCAATGATTTTATCCCACAAAACCTTTTTATTTTGATTCGTGTCAACTGCACCATATTCGCTAACAAAAACCCATGCTAAGCATAAAGTAACATCTTCCTCACAGGTCTAATTACGAACTATAATATGCTTTCTTGCCATGTTGAACAATTTGGAAATGGTAGAAAGAAAAATTGGAAGAATTGAGTTTTGTGTGGATGTTTGAATAAATACATAGGTATTTATACAGTTTTTTTGATGAATTTTGAGTTAAATAATTTTTTTTAATTATTTTAGCCTTTGGATTTAAATTTGGGCTGTTAGATCTTTTTTTTTTACCGTTGGATTTGATTATATTCGATTTCAGCTGTTGGATTCAATGTATTTTAAAATTACATTTAAAAACAAAACAAAATTTGAATCTGAACCGTTGGATCAACCAACGATCCATAAAGCCCAGCGGTAGGATGCAGAAAAAAGTTGTTGGGCTCTAGTTGGTGGCGGACAGTGGCCCTGATAGTGGGCCCCTATCGGGCGCTGAAGCCAAACAGCTCGCGTGGGGCGAGTGCACGAGTGAACGGGCTGAGACTAGGCTCCCTTTGGGCGAGTCCACGCGTTTGTGGGCTATTTCTGGGGGGGGGGGGTATTTGGCCTTGGTTTGAGGCCATCTCCAATCGAAGGGTCCAGAGAGTCAGATGACCGAAAATAGCCTGAAAACCGTCTTCAACCGAGGGCTAGGCCAGAGGGTTGTGGAATTTGAGAAGGCCCCATGGAATCAGAAAGGGCTAGAGGGCTGGCCACTTCCAGCCAGCCATAATTTTTTTAAATGTGTTGCATTTCCTGTCGGTTATAACCGACAGGAATTCTTAAGAAAAAATTCAAATGCAACGGCTAGTCAGTTAGCCATTGCATTTGAATTTTTTTTTTTACAGTTTTATTATTATTTTTTATTTACAATTTTTTTCATATAACTTCTATTTTTTCCTATAACTTTTATTTTACAAAATTTGTTTCATATTTTTTTTAAATTCTATTTTTTTCCTATAACTTCTATTTCACAAAATTTGTTTCATTTTATTTTAAATTCTTTTTTTTCCTATAACTTCTATTTCACAAAATTTGTTTCATATTTTTTTCCTATAACTTCCTAAGCCATTATACAACATTAAATTAAATTAAGTAACATGAAACAACATTAAACAATATGAAATAACATTAAATAACATTAACCAACATACAAATTATACAACATAAAAAAACATTTAACAACATTTAAATAATAAATTATGTTTGGCCTTATGGCCCTCGGTTGGAGACGGTTTTTTGTGACAGGGCTAAAACAAGCCATCTGGCCCTCGGTTGGAGACGGAGGCAAATATGACCATGTACTGTTCATTAAAATATTAATATCTTTGAGGATCTTGGAGGGCCGGAGGGCTAAAACGATTTGGCTTGGGCTGGGTTGGGTTTGGGGTGGGGGGGGTGAATAAGTGGAGTAATTTGGCAAATAGCCCAGGGTTGGGTGTGGTCTTATGGACTTTATGCCACCTAATTGTTTAACGTTAATTTTCATATTAATATTATAAAAACATGAGATAATAGAGAGTCCACTAAGACTTCTACTTTTGAGAGTCTCCTTAGACCATCTCCAAGGGATAATCCTAATTGGAATATCACACAATCAAATTTGAAGGTGGAAAGAAACTTCAACCGACATGTCAATTCTACTTGGATTTACATATGAGTCTTGCTGTCAAATTTGACATATAAAAAAGGTGTTGTGTCCTACAAATATCATTTATATAAAAATATATATAATTTTGTGAAAGAAAATATCTGACGTTGCGACACAGGGTTCCTTTTATAGCCGTCGGGAAATACAAAATTCCTAAAGGAAAACTAATGAAAAAGACTTGAAAATTTTGAGTTTTAACGATAAGGAAAAAATAAAGGGTATATTGAATAGTACTAGATTTGACTTTTTAATGTAAAAATTTGATTTTTCATTAAAGTGAACAGTATTACGGATTTTTTGTTAAAACTCTCAATTCCTAATTCAAAAAATTAAACGCGTACTTTTAATGTCTTTATGTTTTCAAATTCTGACCGTTCATTGTACCCCTAGGTCTAGCAAGAGTCATCATCACCCGTACACGTGTTCCCTCCCACTGACCTCCGACGCTACGCTTTCCGGACTCTAATTAGCGCCAAATTCCACTCGCGTCGCTCTCAGAGAATAAAACCTAAACTCCTCCAGATCCAACGGCTGGCCACCACTCCTCACTCTCCCACCCACTCTTGACTGTCCAACCGAGAATTCAATCCAGACCGTCAGATCAGCCATTGCTCTCATCCAGCCCTCCATTATTTAGGATATTCAATTTCAAAAAACATCGAGAGGGAGTGAAAGTGAAAAAGACCAAAGTTCGAGAGCTGCTCTATCTTCCCCAATTCTTCCGATTCTATTCAATCTCTGCAAATCTCTGATCCGGTTCGAGATTTTCAGCAGCTAAAATTCGAGCTCCTTCAGAAATTTCAAGCCTTTTTATTCAAAATTTTATGGCTGCTTTTTCGGTAGTGGAAATATCCGCCTAATCGCCGCCGTCGGTCCGCGACGGTCTCCGGTGACGATTGAGCTCCGAAACGACACCGTTTCTACGTTACCGATGGCGTGCGCGGTGGAATTATTTCTCGAAGGGTTTTGAGCATTTGTGTTTTGGAAATTAAATGCGAATTTGGGAGGCTAATTGTGCATGTTGGCATTTGAATTTATTGGAGATTAATGGAGCAGAGCGAAACGGTCTCCGAAGTCGCGCCCAAGAAATTGGCGAGGCAATTGGATTTCACGACGCTGTGTCGATCGTCAGCGAGTGCGGCGGTGCCGGACGTACAGCTACAGCTTCAGACACCGTCAGTGGCGCAGCAGCAGCCACAAATCTCACCGGCAAAACCACAGTTGCATTTGCATTTACAGTCGCCGCAGCCGGCGGCGGTCCATTCCCAGAAGCAATTAACGCCGCCGCCGGCGATTCCGCAGTTTCAGGCTCGGCCGAGTCCCGCGCCGCCCGCAAACGTTCGGATTCCGCACCCGGTGCACAAGCTTTCGCAAGTGAGGTAAATTTCTATGAATTTTGATCATATTTGGACTTATTTATTTGAATTTGAAGTTTATTTGGTTGAATTTGGTATTGAATATTGGAAATGTTGAGATAGGCTTTGATGTAGTGCATCTTGTGGTAGAAAAGTAGTGCAAAATTGGTAATTTTATGCTTGAATGGTAAATGTGGTTGCTAAGGGAGTTTGCATTGTACATTTATGAGAAATTGTGTTAAGATTTTCAGATATATTATTGATATTGGTAATGTTGTTTAATAACTTATCTGAAAGTACAAGAATTTCCTACTATCTTAATCATAGAGAGGTGGAAGCTCTGCTTTTGACATTCTCTTCGATATTCTACTTTGGTTTTATATCGTTTATTGTTAATTATTGTTCATTTCTTTTGTTTCTTTCTAATTAAGTTATGTTTAAAGCTCCCTGATTGTGAGGTTTGTTGTATTATACTTCTCTTGACCTTTGTGTGCATGTGTTTCTCTTCAGCAAACAAGAATCTCCTTTATCACGCCAACGTGGCGATGGAAAAGATTGTACTCCAAAGAAGCAGAAGCAGTGCAACTGTAAAAACTCTCGGTGCCTGAAGTTGTAAGGACATCTCCTCCACTTCATAACTTTTAGCATTAGATTGCTCCATTTGGGATTTGTATTTGTTTTTGGTATCTTGTAATTTGAAACTTAGATGCCAAAAAACCCTTTGTGGAAGATCTCTTCACCTCACATCTGGAGAGTGGGGGAGATGTTATAGATATTTGCATTTTGGTCCTGGGCACTTCATCTCACCTTTTGCATATCTTGTGAATTCTGTTACACATTGAAACCTTGATATTCAGTTTAACCCTTTCATGTAGAATACATGTTTTTCCAAGTGAAAATGTCAAAATGCTTTATGGTGGAAACGCAGCTCGTCGTCCATTAACATGTAAACAAACAGATATTCTCAATGATGCTTCAATTTGCTTACATAAAGCTGCAAGCTTGAATGTGAATTCTCTGTAGATTTATATTGGGAAACCTCTATCCCTCAATATGGTATTTTCGTTCCATTTGCATATTGGAACGAGATAATTTGTGGAATTAATGGTTGAGTTGATAAATCCACTTTAAGTTACTATCGAATACAAAATGATGTCACCTTTATTTTCTAGTACTTTATATGTTTCAAATTATCCCCATGTATGTGGCTCATCATCTATTCTACTTCCCCCACATTCTTTAATACCTAAACTCAGAACTTGACAATCTTGTAGGTACTGTGAGTGCTTTACAGCTGGAATTTATTGTGAAGGTTGCAACTGCTCGAATTGTCACAATAATGTGGACAATGAAGCTGCTAGGCAGGACGCACGTGGAGCAATTTTAGAGCGTAATCCAAATGCCTTCCAACCAAAGATTGCTAGCAGCCCACAAGAATCTCGTGATGGTAGGGTATGTAATCTGACTCATTTGTAGCTTCAACTGTACCCTTGGATGGACTTTTACGAAGTTCTTATGATGGTGAGAAAACAAGGAGGTGTAAGCATAGTACACTCTTAATGTTTAGTCTAGTTATTGATGTTCTTGAGTCAATTTTATTGCATTTGGTAATTCAGCTCAGTGTGCATTAATAGTTTCTTATAACAAATTCAGGAAGATGCTGGGGAAATTCAAGCAGCTGGAAGGCACAACAAAGGATGCCACTGTAAGAAATCAGGCTGCCTCAAGAAGTATTGTGAGTGCTTCCAAGCCAATATTCTATGCTCTGAAAATTGTAAATGCATGGACTGCAAGAACTTTGAAGGAAGCGAAGAGAGAAGAGCTCTCTATCATGAAGGCCAGAATACTGTGGCCTACATGCAACAGGCCAATGCAGCCATTAGTGGGGCCATTGGAACCTCTGGTTACGGGACCCCTCTTGTGTCCAGAAAAAGAAAAGGCTATGAACTTTATTTTACCACTGGAAATCAATCCACTCATCCGATTGCACAATCTCAACAGGTACAATTTTTCTTCAAGTACTTGAATACATCTTTGTTAAGTTTTGGGTAGTAGTGTGTTTGGCGTTGAATATTTTGATAAGTTGTTCTTGTCAGGCTTAAAAAAGTCCAGTATTGCCATTATTATTACTTGAATGACCTTACTCATGAAGGCTAAGATCATTGTTCACATTTTTTTTAGCTCAGGCTAAGCTAATGATCATTATTCTACAAAAATGCTTGTGGAATATGGCAATCCCTTCCAGATTAAATTCGGATTCAGTTCATTATTCTTGCTTCCATTTTCATTCCATCTATTTCTTAAGCTAACAGGCTTCGTGTTAACCTTATTTTTTAATTGAATTTTATCAGGAAAATCATCTAAGACCTCCTATGACCTCTTCTTCTCAGTTGTCTGTTCCTATCTTTCACGCTGCTAATGCAGCAGTATCAAGACCTTCAAAAACAACTATATACAGGTGTGTTACTTCTCTCAACATTGTTAATTCAAAAGTTTGCTTTATTTTCCTTCAAAATATGCTAATCATCACGTTTCGTGACTGAAGATCTCCATTGATGGACATCATCCAACCAAAAAACGTAAAGGATCTGTGCTCACGTTTGGTTGTAGTTGCAGGGGCAGCTGCAAGGGCACTTGCAGGTTTTGGTTATATACACAAGTCAATTAGATTCCTTTATTCTCTTGGCAATGCATGTGCATCTCATTTCACTTTTGAGTTTTTAGAGCTTTTTTTATTCTTTGTTTAAAATATTTTGAGGACACTGCTAGAACCCTACTGTCCTAATGGGCTCTCCCAAGATGACAAATTTTTAGGTAATCAGTTGTCTGAAAAGGCTATTATTCCAAGGCATGGAACTCTGTTGTTTTTGGAAAGACAATTCTATTCAGTTTGGTTTCGGAAAACTTGCTTTCCAACTAAAACTGCCTTATCATAGTTTTAAAAGTAAATGAACAAGAGGCTGTTTCTAAAGGGCCCAAGAAAAAGGAGCTCATGGTTATTGACCAATATCGAGTATATGTTTTTCTCTTGTATTTTCATTGTGCCATTTTCACCCGGGCTTCTGTTTATTTCAGACTAATCAATAGATTTCTGAATTTTTTATTTCCTTGGGGAAGAAAACTTACTGCCTCTCTTTCTCCCACCTTTTAGTTGCTACAGTGGATGTTAGATATTCTACATATGGTCTTTAAAATATGTGATTCGGTTTTTTGAATTTTCTAATTTAATCTGTCCAGGAAATAGGCAAAGAGAGACAATTCATAAGACTAATGCCACTTCATCCACTCAAGAGGGGAATAAACATAAAACGGAACATGATAAGCAGCATGATGACCATGACCTTATAGGAGTGAATCAAGCAGATAGAGACGCGAGTAGATTTTCTGGATCGAATGGAGGTGATGTGCAAGATAGTAGGCCAATGTCACCTGGAACTCTTGCCCTGATGTGTGATGAACAAGATAAGATGTTTATGGAAGCTGGATTGCCAAATGGTGCTCGAACCGATAATCCAAGCATGCCTCAGAAGTTAACTCAGGATATAGGTTTCACAGAGGTTTACGTGGAACAGGAAAGGCTTGTTCTGACAGGGTTCAGAGATTGCCTTAACCATCTTATTACGCGGGGGAGCATAAAAGGTGAGCGTCTCCAAGTTACAAGTCTAAACTTATGATTGTTGAAAAACAAATACCCATGTGCTTTGTGAATATTTTTGAGAACTTAATACTATGAGAACACCCTACAAGGAAGAGATCAGTTTGGCTTTGTTCCTATATTTTTCTACCCGTTCAGAGCGTTGTGGAAACTTGGCCGATCATGTCTTCTTTTACTGTAACTAGCAGACTTTCTAGAATGAATGTGCATTTTTAGTCATGGATATAAATGGTTTTTGGGGTGTTGAATTCCCCACATCAACATCTTGTTTTAGTCCTTGGAAGATTTCTTTGCAGCTAAGTCCCGAAATTTGCAGTTTGAAATGTTATAGTGGCCCAATACCAAAACTTATTGACAGGAATCTTTTTATCTCTAGTAAAGCTTTAGGACGGTTAAAAAGGAAACCTGGGGACGGTAAAAAGTTCTATTTTGTGACTGTTGATTGACTTTGTTCTTCATTCATGCATCCAGCAAGCCTAACAAGAGTGAGTCGTTTGTCTTTGACTTTGCAGAAACAATGTGTTCTCCCCAAGCCAAAAGGGAGAGGGTAAGCCAGAAAGAATCCGTACAGGTTGGAACAGCAAAACCTACCACTGAACCCAGGTACCAGAAAGAGGCCTACAGCAACGACATTGTGAAATCTCCTCTTTCATCAGCAAACGGTAAAATTCTTCAGCCGGTAACAACAGTCACTTCTGTTGACAATGATCTCACTCTAAAGGTTGGATTGCCCATAGAGAAATAATACTGAGCACTCAGACCAACACCGGTTGTAACTTAGGATAGAAGTAGCTCCAAATTCAAATGGTAGTACCGTGCCTCTTTTGAGACACTTTGGCATGATTTCCTGCCACATCATTCGATCTTAGGTCTCACAGTTAGTAAAAACGAACTTTCGTAAACTAATGAGAGCTAGACCCTTTTTCTCTTGGCATAAATTAATTCTCGAAAGAGCTTCTTTCAGTTTTGTTATGCATTTCTGCTGGTGTATGCTAAAATGCTTTTTTGGGGTTTCCCATCTCAATACAGAAGTGTTCAAATCTCACAATAATTGTCGATATTAACCGTTGGATCTCTTATGGCTAGGGTTGGAAGCCTGGTAATCTGGTAGAGGAGCTAGAAAAAGCCAATCCCATGAAAGCACTGTTCCCAGAAGCCATTCCATGCCACAGTACGATTACCGTATTGGTGGAGCTTCCTTGCATCTTCCTTAAACTGGATTGTCGTTCTGATTGTTTTGTTTGTTTGAATGTTGCTTCCTACCACTTTCAGTTTTTTTGTTTATTTTTCGTTCAAACAGAATGTTCATCACCATAAGGAGACGAGCACATGAACCCAATTCACTCAATCGAATACCAAAAATTTCTGTTTGGTTGCTGGGAATTTTGAGAAAATGATGTAAATGCCAAAATAGTTTCCAAATTACTAATTCTTAAAGAACTTGTTGCTCAAGTAATTCAGAGCATGTACTCTTGTCATCATGTTTTTTATACTTCACTCTTCCAATATCGTTTGGCCATATCCAACAAAACCATTGGAGGACTATTCTTGTATGCCTTATCTTATGAGGAGAGATTATGAAGTGTCTCAGTTGTATATAATTATATGTTTATCTATATTATTGTATTATACATATATACAACCGATGATAAGACATATTTTCTATGTGGTTAATTTTTTTATTTTTTTTATTTTGAAAGTAATATAAAACTCTCACATGTCTAGGTTGTTTTCTCTAAAAAAAGGTCAGCGGATGATTTATTCACAGCAGTCCACCCATCGAAGGATTGCTTCCAAACAACTTTAAAAATAAAAAAAAATAAACAGACCACAGATCCACAAACAACAATAATAACATCTTAAAACAATAAAATTTAATCCGCAAGAAAAGAAAACCAATCAAAATATTTTCCCACAAAATATTCTCAGCTGCCAAACAGAGCGATAAAGAACTTGATCGCACCCCAAAAAGGTTTTCATAATTTGTATTTATTATTATTCAGTAATAAATAATATTCGTTTCTGGAGGAAAAGGCAGCAGCGTGATGAGGACCCATTCACCCATCACTGCTCATCCACAACCTCTGCAATCCAACTCACCAAGGACCACGCGCGCACACGTGCCACCTCTTCCGTCCCAGACTCCCACACATGTCTCTCCGTACCTCCCTCCCCGCCAAAACTTTCCTGTAATTACCGGCCCAAGTCACAGGCCAGAAGCAGCAGATCAAAACTCAGCGACTGTGACGTGAGCGAAATGGAGGAAGCTCGGAAGCTTCGCTCGGAGTTCCTCCAAGTTCTGCGGAGCAGACGATCGGGCGAAGGTGAGTAAATTGGTAGACATTTTCTTTGCTTAATTTTGTGTTTGGCTGGTGAGAAAATTTGAGGGAATCAGTTGAAAAAATTGGTAATGTGAGACGTTTTTTATTCCTTTCAGTTCCAATGTTGGTCGAGCCGGCCAAACCGGTGGCGAATCCGTTGTTTCAGGAGGCTAATCCACCAAGCTTCAGTGAGGTTCGAATCTGGTTCCCATTTGGAAATGCTTTGTACCAGTTCGGTACTGCTTAATTTTTTTAAAGGCCTCAAAATTGTATTTGGCAACAAAGCCAAAGACTGCTTATTTCCTAAGTCACGGTCAGAAATAGCTGAAAAGTGGAAGCAGCTACTTGCTGCTTTCAAAAAGCGGCTTTTTTTCCATCTAAAACACGGTGGACAGTGTGTTTAATGAAAGTTTTTAAATGCCCATCTTCCTTGCTCTTGTTGGCAGCTCCAGTTTTCGCAATTCACTGAGAAGCAGCTACATCTACCAAATTCTGCAGCCATCAATTAAAAATATAAGACAACAAATCATCTGGAACTCTTCTCACAATTTTGATAGAGAATTGACAGAAAGGATACGAACCTGAAACTTCATTCCCAGTTGAAGCCTCCATCTCCAGCCACATCAAAACTCCTGTGTTATTCGATTCTTTTCCTTTGCTTCGATCGCAGGAGAGAAGGATTCGAGGAAGACGCTATTTTTTCTGGGAATATTGGAAGGGCTAGGTTTTTGGGAGGTGCAGGTGGGATGATGTCGATATCATCGAGGAAGACGCTATTTTTTCTGGGCAAATGAAGACGGAGAAAATGGATATTGATGATAAAAAGCCCGAAGAAAACGAGGGGAGAGGAGAATGAGAGTCCGAGAAAGTACTTTGACAGAAAAGGTTTACCAAACACTAACTGGTCTGGAAGTTCCCAAATCAAAAGCTTGCAAGGCTTATGCAGATGCGCACGCCGTAGATAACTTGAAGGTATGGATTAGCACTGTTATACCGTACAAATAATTTTTACCATCCTCAACTGCATTTAGAGCCTCTGATTCATCTGTTCTTCTGTTCAAACCTTCCTTCATACTCATGGCCGTCGACCGTTGTCATGTCTGTTCATCCAAACACAAATAATATCGTAATGCAGTCAATAGCACAGCCGGGAATCAGGCACCGAATGACCCCGCTCATGGTAACCGAGGCCAGTGACTGGTTCGACCAGTTTCTGAAGCAGTGAGGCCGTGGTTGCAATCGTGCGTTCGTCGTTTCTTACTAATCTACTTACCCAGTGTTCATCTGTAACTCAGAGCCAATCGGTTTTGGGCTTAAGCAATATACTCTCTGATGATATATCGTCAAGGCTGAAATAATTCATCGTCGTTTCGAAAAAATGTTCTGTTAGTACGGAATATTATTACAACAGCATTCTTAAACGACTAGTTTTCGGTTTCGTCGATCACAAATTCACAATCAAATCATGATGCATAAAAACCCCCCAAGCTAACATGTGCCGAGGTTTTACATTATGTGCAACTTCGTGCATAAAATTAGACAATACAATCACATACAAGCTGCTCCTAAAATTGAAGGCAAAAAAACTACAGCGCACCTCGCTTCGTCAGCCTTTCTTCGGCATGGCGGCTAGCCTGGTGTACATTCTGGCCATGGAATTGTACCCTCGGAAGTCGCTGGAACGCAGAAGATTGCCTGCCACACAAACAACACCAACTAACTAAAACAGAAGATAGAGAATGAAATTGACAGTAATTTGTGTATCAACTCAAACCTAGCACCAATTTAAATGCAGAATTGTGAATCCACGAGAATTTCATATCCTAAAATACAAATGCATCAATAAGGGAAAACCTAATGTCTTTGGACGGGGGCTGCGCCCCAGTTCGTTAAAATTCTCTCCTTTCTTCCAAACAAAAACGGATATGGAAAATCAGATTAACTTTCCTAAGTAAACCACGGTTCACTAATCTCAGACAACTATCATTTACGTCCTTTGACCCCCTAGTTTCAGAATCCTAGTTCATCCATGTGAATAGAGCTTAGGTTTCCAGTCGTCGGACTTGAGAATAGATAAAGACGACTCACAAAGCACAGGGGGATGGAAAAACAAAAATTGAGCTCCTGTGTCTTAGAAATCCAATGCTCATATACATAATGTGCGCGTCTGCGTACCTGAATCACAGTTCAGTGGGCTATCAGGTTCTGGATGGGCCATTAAAGCAATTATAGCCCTACAAACAGATTGGAGTGTCCAAGCAGGGCTCCATGCATTCTTCAAAATATCAAGGCAAATCTCTCCTGTCTGCACTAGAAAACAACTTCAGAAAAATCAAACAATACTTAATATGTTTACAACAGTGCATTAAACATTTAGTGTCCAATCTATTTTTCATCTGGTGATCTTGTCATTTGTCGGAGGGTAATCCCGGTACAGTGTACCAAACAATTGACCAAATGAAATCCTCAGTAAGCTTTGACACACTATTCATTTTCAAGAAAAGACGCTACAAACGAGGTTTGAAAACACTTCTACATTTCTGCCTAGGAAAAAAAAAAGTATAAAACAGCTTCAGGTAGTCTTAACTCAATAAAACAATAGTTGAAGAAACTTTTGACTCCTAATCATTGGTGTCGAACAACATCTCCATATTATTCCATCACTCTTCCATCCTGGACAGAATCACTAAGTTCCCACCTAGTTCCTTTGCTAATTTCACAACTCAGCCAGATTCCTCAGATTTCCAAACAGATTAGACATTGCCACACAAAGATTTCGTACCTTGAAATGCACATTTGGATGGAATATTTTTGTTAAGAACCTGACTTGTGGAGGTTGCAAAGGATACTGCTCAGGAACCGCAAAAGCAAGCTGGAATATACCACCCTCAAATGGGGTCTCTGATGGACCCTAAAGGCAAAATATGGACAAATAAGGCCAAACAATGCACCCCAAGAAGTTTTCTTTGTAATGACGGAGCTTACCTTGATGAGAGCAGTCCATTTAAATATGTTTGTGTCATCACAAACTAATTGAATATCTGGATCAGCAACTTTCTCACGCTGCACCTCTTTGTATTCCTTGAAAAGCCTTGCCCTTGATGCCTGCAAAAACTTACTTGTCAAAACGGTTTCACCGCATGGTTTAAAAAGCTATGCATTACACCAATCCAAGACCAGAAGCAGAGAAGATACTGTATAACAGCAACACCCGGCTAGCCACTAAAGTTCACCATTCGCACTAGCTTCACTGCCATCTAAGATACATGATCGTATTTCACGATTTTATATTTGCAGTGTGGTCTACGTAACAATTCCACACTATGCAATACAATATACCAGTCATTCATGTCCATAATTCCGCTCCATGAGGCCTCACCGTCTACTTCCTCTCCACAAAACAAACACTGCTTTTTCCTCGAACCCACATCCACTCTCCCTCCATCTCTCACCTTTCTACCACATTTTTCCGACAATCCTCCCTCTAACCGAATCCACTTTCAGCCATAAAACTTTCACCCACTTGGAGCACATTTCAAGCTAACAATTTGTTTAACTAACAACCCTCATATCCCTATATGCTCTTAAGCTAAACAGCATTCGGATGAACACCCGATCGAAAATAAACCTGAAAAACCAGTCCAATGAATTCTAGCTATAACCAGACTGGCCAAAACAAGAAGTTGGGCTAACCTGCATGTTGATTGTTGCCTGGGAACTCAAATCGCAGCGCTTCACTACAAAGCCCCACTACCTGAACACAATCACAACATTCTCACAAAATTAATAAAAAATAATATAAATAAATAAATAAAAATTGGATATTGAATTGATTGGAAGTTTTGATTTCGCCACACGCATCCAAAACCAAAACCTCTGGAAAAACCGAATCGATACAATTCGATTGAAAAGGGGCAATATCTGCAATTTAATGTAACTCAGGGGGATATAACGTAAATTTCTATTTTTGCAGGAAATATTCGAACAACGGATTGAAACCCCAGAAGCTTACCTTGCAGAGAGACTTGCTTTCCTCGGGAGAGATGAAGATCGACGATCGATTTCTTTACAGTCGGGTTAGGAATGAGATTTGGTACACGGTGCTAAAAGGAACATGGAAAAGGGAACCACTGACGAATCAGCACCCGCCACGTTTCCGATTATATTTTGTCACCAAACAATAGTTTCCTTTCTTTTTTTTGTTCAGACAATGAGGAGAGATATTGACCCAAAAAATACATATGGCATTTGACCCCAAAATAAATAAATAAATAAATAAAAACATATAGTTGTTGACCCTAGAAATTACAAAGCCTACGTGGCGCGCAGGCCGAATATATTCTAAGCTAACTACGTCCTTCGGTGATTGCGGGGCGTGCCAACTCGTCGGCCGAGGCTCGGCCGAGGAGTAAATTTGATGATGCTGCGTTGGGTCGCGCTACTGACTTCTGCGTCTTGCGATTGCGGCCGAGAAAGGAACGCGTCTCGGCCTCTTGGGTTCTCGAGCCTGAAGACAAGGCTGCTATTTCTTACAAAGTTCACGAACCGAATTCGGCTTACAATGTGCCGAATGTAATAACTGTAACACCTCACCTCGCCGAGAAGGCTAATGAGATGACCTCGACCAACAAGGATTCGAAAACCCTTCTCGACCGAGACTTGGATAGGCAATCGACCGTTCTCGCCGCAGTGCTGTTGATGCCAACGGAAGATACTGCGAGACCGACCGACTCTACGGTGACAGAGCTATCTATGCCGACTTAAGATATCACCGGTTGCTTCCACAGTGCTGTTGATGCCAACGGAAGATGTGTCAGCGAAAAAGGAAAAGAAAAAGATCTCAAGTTGTGAGAGTTTGCGCAGGGCAATTTTGTATTGATTTTTGTGGGGCTTTTCCATTGCTGAATGTCTTGTATTTATAGAAGCAGAACACCGAGCCCGAGTTCTAATCCTATTCGAACTAGGTTTCCTTCTCCGGATTAACGTTACCTCAATCAGTCCTACCTCTGCTAGGACTACGAATCTAGTCCTTAACTGAGCCGGATTCGCCTTCTAGTTTTACTGATCTCGTCGAGGGTCCCTATTGTATTAGGACTCGACTTGCATTCTGATTTAACCGACCTAGGCCTAGAAGCCCATGAGCTGAAGCCCCCCATGACTTTCTCGCCGTAGTCTTCCCGGGCCGAAAGTGATACCTCCCTCGGCCCAAACTGCTATTTTGGGCCCAAAACATTGCCCCTCGCTTTTGAGGTCCTCGGCCTGAAACCTTCGGCCGAGTTTCGGCCTTGAAGAAGCGAATCTACCACTCAGGATCCCAATACCCGAGTTCCAAGGCGCATTTATTGAACATGATCGCACGATCTTGATCCTGCTAAACCACTCGCCACGTGGCATCCCCTAACATGGCCAATCCCCGATAATGACGTCTGAAGCGTGCGCCTGCCCGAACCGTCTCGTCATTATGACCACTATCTCAATCCGCGAGCCATTTCATCAGTCCGTGAGCCCTCCTGTCATCGTGCAGGCGTCGAACCGTCTTTCGTCATTAACTTCGCCGTCACACGCGATCGTGCGCCCCCAAAACCTAAAACCGTCGGTCTTCTCAACCGCATTCCCCAAAATGCTCATCATGATCAACGATTCCTCCGGTCGATTTTGCCCTTTGCTTTGAATTTCGAACGATTGCTCTTCCTCCCATTACTCTATAAATACCGAAATTTCCTCATTTGTACTTTACGTTCTCAAACTTCCTGAAATCCCCTACTCTTGCTCTCAAGTGCATTCCTCCATTCCAAGCTTTCGTCCTCAAATCCCCAACCCAAAAAACCTCCTTACGCTGTGCTTTTACAATGGCCTCCTTCATCTCCAAGCTTTCCCGGGAATGCGACCAGCATCAGAAGATCCTTGATCGGAGCTCGATCAAGAATATACGGTTCGAGAACGACATGAGCACCGTCCACCAAATCCTGGGTCCTCTCTTCAAGGCAACAATCCCGCCGACCATCACTGGTCTTCTCCAGGAACACTGCCTTACACCCTTGCTCCAAGGGTTCGAATGGTCGAGATGGGAGGCGGCAAAGCCCCAAGGCTCCTGGCCCTCGACGACCACCACCTGGGCGACCTGGGTTGTCCGAATGGAACGGCTCTTCGGCGAAAAATGGAAAATCCTGGGCATCTACGACGCCATCCTCCTTTCGTCGATGGACATTGTCCCTGACAAGGAGCTGCTCCTAGCCGCTCTATGCTTCTGGTGCTCAGCCACCAACACAATGGTCCTTCCCCTTGGTCCCATTGGTCCCACCATCCTGGACATCACCGCCATTTTGGGGACCTCGGCCACCGGGATCCCTATCGACGCGACCCTCTCCGGGCACCGTCGAATATCGATCTGAAGACGCTCTTCGACCGTCGAGCCTTCGAGACCCTGAATAGTGACGGTCACATCCCGTCGAGGGATGAAATACAGAAGCTCCACAAGAACTTTCTCAACTACAACACCCTCTACCTTCACTTCGCCGGTCGAGGGAAGAGGACCTGCGAGAAGGAGAGCATGAAGCCTTCCTCTTCTACTGGTACAATAAATACATTTGTTGTACCCAAATCAAACAAATGTTTGGTCGAGAATATGCCAGTGGCCGAAGCCCTGGCCAGTGGTCGCGTCCTGGCGCTGAGTTCTAATATTCTTGCCCACCTCTTCCGTTGCCTGGCCGAGGCGACTCTCCACACGGTGGACCCCCACCAGAATGGCCCTCTCTGGGTCTTCCAGCTCTGGTTGCAGGTGTACTTCGCCTCCCTTCGGCCGGCTATAGCTGATTTCTCAGCAACAGAGGCTCTTGGTCCTCAGCTAGCCTCCCGACCAACGCCTCCTCATCAGGCCGAAGAGGTGTTTAGGTACCTCTTTGCCCTTGACGATCTCACAAGCGACGAATTCCTGATTTTGTCGTCGTCGTGATTACCCCCCTCCATCAAACTGCCTACCTCTACGTGGGCGGCAGAGGAGGACGCCGCTCTTCGCCGAACCTGGGGGTCGTTCGTGCTTGCTCGCGACCTTCCTCTCGGCTGCGACGGGAAACGGTCGGGGTGGGAAGTGTACCATCCGAACTTCCTTGCCCGTCAGCTCGGCTATCTTCAGGGCTGTCCCGTCCCCCTTCTCTCTTCCCGCACAGTATTGAGCCGCGGACGCGAGCCTCGCTCTTCAGAGAACGAGTGCAGGACTGCCGCGAAGGAGTTTCAAGAGTACTGCCAAAGATTTCGCCTACGACCGGCCACCCCAGAAAACCCATTGCACTGACACCTTCGGTGAGTGGTGGAAAATTACACTCAAGAGTTCTTCGGTACGCCGGTCGAGGATGTACTAAACAGGTTCTTCGGTAACCGACCTAAGAAAGCCCCGGCCCCCCATTCTCAAGGTAGTTGTTCAATTCCCCCTTTTTCTTCAACCTTGCCTGTTGTACGCCTTACTGAATTGTCTTTATCCTTTTAGGTAGTCGGCCTTTGAGAAAGACAGAGGTAGTTGCCGCTGCTATGGCCGGGAAAAAATCGGTCGTGGCCAAAAAAGACAAACCTGCTGGTAGGGCCGGTCTGACCAAACGGCCTCGCCAAAAGGTCGGGCCGGCTATCAAGCCTTCCCCGCCTGCCAAGCGGGTCAAGCAACTGGCGAAGAAAGGTGCACGGGAGATCCACGTTATTTCCAGCCACACGACGACTCCCAGTGCTTCCCCTTCTCCCGCCGCCGGCCATTCTGGGGTCAAGAAACAACCGGCTTCGGCCATAGAGACGATCCCAGCGCGGCCTGCTTCTGTGGCCGGCGAATCAGTCGTACCTCCCTCTGTCGAGAAGGCACCTGTCTCACACCAGGCGGTTCCTACGACCAAGGAAAACTCTCCCAAGAATCCAAAGCCCACGGTCTTCGTGCTGGAAGAGAGTGAGGGGAGCGACGAGGTCCCGCTGGCGCGTCGTCATCCTACTCGTCAACGAACTCTTCCAGTATCCGAGATGGCGGTTCAACCCGGCCCCTCCTCGGCTAATCGTGGCAAACACACGGTCGAGGAACCGACCCCGGCGGCCGAACCTCTCGTTCCTTCTCAAGACCAGGGCGTCCCTGCCTCCACTGAAGCAGCTGCGCCAATCGGCCCATCGGCAGCCGACCGTGGCAAACGCCTGCTCGAGGAACCCGAGGCCACGGCGGAATCGCCGATCCATCCTCAAGACCAAGGCTTCCACATCCCTCCACAAGAGGTTACCTCGGCTTTTGTAAGTACCTTCAATTTTCCTCCTGATTGCTTTTCTGCTTTAGAATTCTAAACAAGGAAAAACTAAATGTCAGGTGCCTGTACATTCTTTTCACCGTCAATTCTATGCGCCGAAGGGCGTTATCTATATTTCCTGGCCGCCTCAGTGGCCATCAAACGTAGATAACTTCCATCGGCCTCGTGAAGTGAGAAGCAATCTGAGACACTGGGCTCGGCCATTGAGTTCTTTAGGTTCGAGCAACGACCCTGGGGACATGGCCGAGGTCTCCTCTCAGCAGGTTAAAAAACGACACCTTCTTGCTATTCTTGTCATGACTTCCTTTAAGCTTAACCTTGTTTATTCGTGCAGGCTTCATGGGAGGTTGAATTCAAAGCTCTCCTCTCCAGTACGACTGCAGAGTCCGGCCCTTCGGTCGCTCCAACTGAGGCTGCCGATCCAAGCGCCCTAACCCAGTTGCGAGAAGTCCTGTCGCTCTCTTCATCGCAAGTACTTGAGCGCAACGGTCTTGATCTGCTCGGCGTGTGTCTGAACGACCTTGGGGCCGACGGTCGCCTAAGCGGAGATGCCATTGTTCGGGCATCGTCTGCTTTGGAGCGCGTTCGGGAGACATTTGGCATCTTCCAGACTGCTCTGAAGGCCGAACAGGACCTGCAAGCCGCCACGGCCGTTCAAGACACCCTCCGTCCGAAGATTGACGATCTACGGGCAAAAGGAGAAGCGTTAGCCGAGCTCGACCGTCAGATGGCCGAACTAACAAAACGCCGGTCGGTCATTGCTTCTGAACTTGCGAGGGACTTCGAGTCAGGCGGGAAGGATCGCCTAACTGAGTATGCGGCGGCCAAAAAGCGGGTCGAGCGCCTGAGGCTAGACAAAAAAAAATCGGCAAGCCGAAGTCATCATGGCCGACGTGCGGTGGTTGGAATTGAAAGCTCTGCTCAGCACTCTTCTTCCCTCGTCTCCTTGAATGTATTAGACCTACTCATTTTTGTAATACCTGTCAATTTTAATGGAATGACTTTTCCTACAACAAACTTTTTATTCACGCATTTTCCCATGTGACCGGATAGTATTTCTTCAAGAATTTCCCATTAATTGGTAATTTGTGAACTACTCCAGTCCGGTCTTTGAGATGATACGCCCCTTTACCGTATACCTTATGCACAATGAACGGCCCTTCCCAATTCGGCGACCACTTGCCGAACCTAGGATCTTTTATTCCTACGGGCAACACCGTTTGCCACACCAATTCACCCTCGCCGAACGTTTTCTGTCGTACCTTTTGGTTATAGGCTCGCTCGGCAATCTGTTTCTGTGCTACCAGTAAGTTATAAGCGTCAAGTCGCGCTTCTTCCAAATCTTCTAGTTCCTGTCTCATGGACTGATTATATTCGGCGCTAAACAAACTACTTTGTTCAATTAATCGCAACGAATTTATGCTCAACTCGACTGGTAGCACCGCATCGTGTCCGTAAGTCAATGCGTACGGGGTTGTTGCAGTCGCCGATCGGGACGACGTTCGGTATGCCCATAATGCCTCGTTCAACTTCAAATGCCACATGCCAGGCCTCTCTTTTATTATTTTTTTTCGAGGATGCCAATCAACACTTTATTACTTGCCTCGGCCTGCCCATTTCGCCTGTGGATAATACGGTGTGGACTGTTCCAGCCGAATTTTTCAAATTGGCCGTGTATTCCTTAAACCTTTCAGCTGTGAAGATTGTTCCATTGTCGGTTATGATCGTTTCTGGCACACCGAACCGGGTCACAATGTGTTCCTCCACGAAATCGCAAACTTCTTTAGACGTTAATTCGGCATATGATTTTTGCTTCGACCCACTTAGTAAAGTAATCAGTTGCGACTATTATCCATGCATGCCTAGCAGCTCCAGAAGTCGGCGTGATTTTGCCGATTACGTCCATGGCCCATCCTCTAAACGGCCACGGCTTAATGACCGAAATGTAGCGATTCGGCCGGGACCCTTTGTATAGGCCCATGGATTTGGCACTGCACGCATCCTCGTGCAAACTCGATACAATCTTTCAGTATTCTCGGCCAAAAAAATAACCGTGTCGTCGGAGTAGCCATCGCATTTTTCGTCCAGACAGACTGGTGAGCTCCGCATACCCCTTCATGAACCTCTGCGATCGCTCGAGCACTCTCTTGAGGGCCGAGGCATAGCAATAACAAACCATCTTCGCCCTTTCGGTACAACTCGCTCTGGTACGTGACATAGTTCGTGGCGTGAGCCCGTGTCCTGCGACTGTGTTTTCCGTTAGGATTGTCAAGGTACTGCATAATGGGCTTTCTCCAATCATCTGGTACTGCCCTCGGCCGCGCAAATTTCTATAGAGTCCTGGTCTTGCCGATCCAACAACGAAGGCAAGGACATGACCCTGGTGCGTATCACATTGTCTCGACGGAGGATTTGCTGATCAACCAAGGCCGGGTATAATTGTTGCAATATTGGTATCTCCCGGCCTAGCTTGCCCCCCAGGAGTTGTGCACCGGAGGCGATTTGAGCCAACTCGTCTGCGTCGGTATTACGACCCCGAGAAATATGCTCGAATGTAATGCCGTCAAAGGACTCGGCCAAATAGCTGGCGATCATGTGGGTAAGGCGCCAGAGTACAACTCATGCAGCGAAAAGACCCATTAATTTGGTTAATTACTAGTTCAGAATCCCCGCGGACGAGAGGACACGAGTGGCATGTAGGTCAAGAAGGAGGCCTAGACCAATGACCAGAGCCTCGTACTCGGCCTGATTATTGGTACAGTCAAAATCCAATTTGAGCGAAAAATACCAACGATCGTTGTGAGGAGACTGAATGACGATGCCTGCACCGGCCGAGGACGAAGTACTGGAACCATCGAAATACATCGTCCAATAGTTTGTCGCGGGTCACCACCATGCCAATCTCAACATCAGCACCCCCGAAATCATAAGGCGAAGGGTGCTGGGCAAGGAAATCGGCCAACGCCTGTCCCTTCACAGCTTTTTTGCGGCACGTATTGCAAACTAAACTCGGACAACGCCATCGTCCATTTCCCAATTCGGCCCTTCACAATTGGCCGGGTAAGCATGTACCGGATAACGTCGGTCTGGGCAATGACTTGGGTGACCGACGGGAGCATGTAATGCCTAAGCTTGGATGCAGCGAAGAACACGGCGAGACAGAGCTTCTCAACGGCGGAATAATTGATCTCCGGAGGACTCAGATTACGGCTGAGGTAGAAGATAGCCTGTTCCCGGCCGGCATCATTGTCTTGCGCGAGGAGAGGAGGCAACCGATGGACTCGGCGGCCGCCGAAATGTACAGCTTGAGAGGCTTACCGCGCTGAGGAGGGACCAGGACAGGTGGGTTTGTAAGGGAAACCTTGATCTGTGTGAACGCCGCCTGGTGCTCCTCATTCCACATGAACTTATCGGAGTCCTTGAGCTTCAAAAGTGTGGAAAAGGCTTTCATTTTACCTGCCGAATTAGCAATAAATCGGCGTAAAAAATTGATCTGGCCGAGTAAGGACTGTAATTGTTTCTTCGTTGTTGGGGGTGGGGCGGTGATGATTGCGCGTGCCTTGTTCTCATCGACTTCAATCCCACGATGATGTACGAGGAAACCAAGAAAATTCCCGGCCGATACACCGAAGGCACACTTGGCAGGATTCATCTTGAGGTTGTGCTGACGCATACGGAGAAAAAGCCTGTCGGAGATCGTCCAGATGTGTCTGTCGGCGTTTAGATTTGACGACAACATCGTCGATATAAACTTCGACGATGGTGCCAATTAAATCATGGAAGATGGTGTTCATCGCCCGTTGGTACGTGGCGCCGGCATTCTTGAGGCCGAATGGCATGACAACCCATTCGTAAGTGCCGAGTGCCCCCGGGCACCGGAAAGCAGTTTTGTGCACATCGGCTTCGGCAATAAATATTTGGTTATATCCGGCATGTCCATCCAGAAAAGATAAGATCGCATGATTCGCCGCGGCATCGATTAACAGATCTGAAATCGGCATTGTATACTCATCTTTGGGCGTTGCCAGATTCAGATTGCGAAAATCGGTACAGATGCGCAGTGCACCACTTTTCTTTAATACAGGAACAATATTCGCCAACCATTCGACATATCGAGCTGTCCGAATGAACCCGGCTTTCAAAAGCCGAACTAATTCGTCCTTAACACTGAGTTGTACTTCGGTCGAGAATCGACGAGGTGGCTGACGGAAAGGCTTGAATCCGGGCTTAATACGTAATTCATGCTCGACCAAAGCACGATCTAAGCCGGGCATTTCATGATAACTCCAAGCAAAACAATCTTTGAATTCCGTAAGCAAAGCCCGCAACTCGTCCTTCATTTGTTGAGGAAGTAACGCACTAATAAACAAAAGTCGTGGGTCATCGGCCGTCCCAACATTAATCTCTTCCAAAGGGTCCTTGACAAGGGGCCGATGATCTTCGAGCTTGGCCGGGGGCGGCTCGAATTTTATCAAAAGATAACACAGGCCCATTATCTCCCTCAGCAAGGAACTCGACGAGGTTGACACCCGAATTTGGTTGTTTGGATATCGTATACCAATGGGCCAGCAGTCGTTCCATAGTAGATGAAACCGCGGCCCTACGTGCTTCCCGATCGGCGTCAAACATCGGATTCGGGGAGAAAGTTAGCTAATCCGAGTCTCGCCGAATCCTGCTGGACAGTCTCGGCGCCAACCTCGATAGCTTTCTGAACGGAAATCCGAGTCGGCCGTCCTTCTTCATTGAAGCCTTGCAACGTAATATAGCCGACGTGATCGTCATAATACCGTGCTTGAATCATGTTGGCTTCGAAGGGCTGGCTATCGGCCGGATGAACAGTGACCGATTTGCCGTCCCAAAAGACAAGCACTTGGTACAATGAGGAAGGAATACAGCTGGTTTGATGAATCCAATCTCGGCCGAGCAATGCATTATACTCGGTTTTGGAATCAACTAACAAAAAAGGCGGTCATATGGGTGCGACCGGCAATATTCACAGTTAACGGAAGCACACCTTTGGTGTGGGACTTGTCGCCGACAAAACTGCTCATTGTGATCCCTGACGGAATAAGTTCGTCATTGGAACGGCGTAAGGCCTTCATGATGTTCAGAGGCATGATATTGACAGTAGCTCCACAATCGACAAAAACCTTAGAAACCGGATATCCCTCGATGTGTGCCGTTACATACAATGGCTTTAAATGGTGAAGCTTGGCCGATGATAAACGAGGGAACAATTCGGCCAAAGCGGCCTTTAGGCTATCATCTCTTGCTGTTGACTCGCCTTCAGCAATCGATATAAAATCAACATGGCCAGGTTCCTCGACAACCACATCTCCATCGAGGAAATTTGGTTGAGCCGTGCTTGATTGAAAATCGGCAGGTAATACATGAACCATACTAATTTCCATATTATCCAGGACGGACGGGCCCATCAGGTCGAGACCCTCCTCGTTCGGTTTGGTTAGCGACTACGGACTTGGTTGTCGTCAGAGTCGGACAACGAGATTCTTCCGTCCCTTCAACAATGTCACCCGGCGGAGCTGCTTCGGCCACTTGTTGGCTCCGCGTGACCGCCTCAGGTAAGGTCGATATTGACAATGAGCTTGGGGTCAAGTCCTGAACCTGCTCCTGGTAGTGTAGCCGAGCATCCCTAGTGTCGAGATAAGCATCAAGACGGGCAATACGGGCGATTTCATCGGTCGTAAGGCCGAAGAGAGAAACTGCTGAAAATACTTCAAAGTGATACCGTAAATACTGAAGGTCCTCTAGCGAGAAAGGAAGGTCAGCGACATTGATATCGGTATACGGGTCGACTTCAAATCCAAAGACACGAGCTTCTCGTATGTGCTGGAACCTTGCTTTCAATCCTGGATCTGAGGTCTTCTGGATGATCCGCTCAGCATCCGGACAAGCCAAGACAAGATCAATGGTGTCCTGACATGCCTTCGGCAAACCATACAAATCGTTGGCCGAATGTTCCTTATGAAATTCTCGCATATATTCCAAAGACTCCCCAAGGAACGGGGGGTGCAAATTCCGTCGAATTTTGACTAAAGGCTCTTGTATAGCTATCGGGGATAATTTGCTTTCGGCCTTTTGCCTGAAATGTTCAACACGTGCCTTCATTTCCCCTGGTCGAATGAGAAGTTTGATCCGCTTATCAGCTTCTTCAAACATGGTCTCGACGTCTTGACCGACCAGCCGTTTTCCCTGAGCCAACTCTGTCATAATTGGTAGAGGTGGTCGCTTTTCATTAGTGGCAACTATATCCTTCGGTCGCCACTTAGGGGCCGAAGTTTCTTGGGCTGCTTGTCGGCGAGCCATGCAATCCATCCGTTGATGCCGGCGTTTCTGAGATTTGGACAACGCGGTATAGACGCCCTTCGAAGAATGGTACGTATACCAACGTTGATCTCTAGGCTCAGGAGGCTTGAAGGTCTTTTGACTCCGTGATGATCCTGAACTGCTAGAATTACGCTTATAGTAATCATCGTCATAAAATGAAGCATCAAAATCGAGGCGCCGCCTGACCGGGGGTGTCTCTTCCATCCGTACTTTAGGACCGAGAGCCTCCCAAAAAACCCCATGATGTTGGTCTTCATTGGCTATCTTGTGCCGAGTTACGGCCACGGGTTGCGAAGAAGGTTTCTCTTCTGGTTTCACTGTCGACCTTCGCTTTACATTTCCTGCACAGAACCGCTGTCCCACTATCTTCATCGGCGCTATACTCCGTCAAAGATTTGACAATAGCGGGCCCCGTTAAGGCCGCGGATAGTTTATTTGAACGTGAATCGGCCATGAACCGTGGCCGAACATTCTGATTCCGCGGGCGTTGTGTCTCAACCACTTCAGCCTTGCCTTTCCCTTTGTCCTTGGGTAGGTACGCGTCGACCATATTTACTGTTGCCGTGGGGAACGGATCAGTATCAACACTCATCCTCTTCTCGGGGAACTTCAGTTTGCCATTATCAATCCAGCTTTGGACGCTATCACGAAATACGACGTAATTGTTTGTCGTGTGTTTGCTCGAATTGTGGTATTTGCAATACACCTTTCCTTTAAGCTCCTCGGCCTTAGGAATGTTATGACCAGGCCGAAGCTTAATGATTCTTGCTGATAACAGTTGGTCAAAAATTGCGTCAGCCTTGGTAATATCAAAAGTATAAACCTTTGACGGTTTCGATGTTCCTTCAGTGGCCGAGCGACTTTTGGCTTCTCTAGAATCAACCTGAGTTAATGCCTTGCAAATGTATGGTTTATCTATTACTATCTCAGCCGCATCCACACTAACACATTCATCCTCGGTTGATGCATAACTGACAGTAGGGTTCTTGTAAATCGTTCCCCGAGTTGGAGTCTTCGAAGTCTTTTCCTCGCGGAGCAAATAATCGTACTGCTCGACATGCTGGGCCAATTCGTACATGTCCCGAAAATTTGCCCCCAAGAATTTCTTTTTGTATTCGACGTCAAGACCATTCAAAAGCAAGTCTGACAAATTCGACTTCGGGTAAGGGCACTCGGCACCAATTCCTAGCCGATTTAAACCTAGTAAGATAATCCATTGGTGACTCATCAGACGCTTGAGCCATCCGTGCTAATGAAGAAACTGACATCTCCATCCCCGGCCGATAAAATTGCTCGTGGAACTTCTCGACCAACTCCTCCCAGTTTTTGGACGGAATTAGGCGGGAGATTGATGTACCAGGCAAATGCCGAGCCGGTCAATGAAAAATTGAACAGCCGTAACTTGTGGAAATCACTATTCACATCTCCACATTGCGCGGTGAAACGAGCCACGTGCTCCAACGAAGACAGGGACGATTCACCAGCAAAAAGACTAAAATCTGGGATCTTGAAGCCCTTCGGGTATCCAAACGTCTCAACGTAAGCTGGGTATGGATGAATAAACTTGGGAAACTTCGGCCCTTTCTTCATAGCGGAGTCGATCATCCGCTGAACTTCGGTCATATCAACAGATGCTGCTTCGACCCTTTGGTCGGTCCCGTCTGACCTACTGTTCGACCCTCCTCCCTTCTCTAAGTTAATTGTTTTGAGCGGGGCAAGAATAGGCCCGGCCGGTACAATCGGTGCCGGGTTGTTTTCTGGTAAGCAAGTTTGGCGAAGATCGAAAGGCCTGCTGCCACCAACTTGGCTAACCAGCATTTCGAGCAGTTTGGTTTGCCGATCATTGGCACTGAGTATCGCGTCCTGCAGCTTGTCAATGCCTCGACTGAACGTCTGCTCGACTGACCGAGACTGCTCGTCCAGTCGCTTTCGGAGGAACGACCTCGTTGGTGGGTCTGTTCCTTCACCACCATCCTCATCACATTCCTCTATATTATCCCTTCATTGAGAACGCATGTGTTTCTGTTTGGGATCTCTAAACCACGGAGTTGACCGCCGAGATTAAGTTCTCTCTCTCGGCGAGTCGCGCTCGTGGACTCAGGTGTACCAACGCTAAGGGGATTCTGCGCCTGTGGCACACTCTGTCCTATGCTCTGACTCGGTAAATCGGCTGTCGACTTTCCCATAGCTGTTTTTTTTTTACCGATCGTGTTTCAATTGGCATGAACTTCGTAGTTTAGCACTGGGTCCCACTGGGCGTGCCAAAATGTTGACCCTAGAAATTACAAAGCCTACGTGGCGCGCAGGCCGAATATATTCTAAGCTAACTACGTCCTTCGGTGATTGCGGGGCGTGCCAACTCGTCGGCCGAGGCTCGGCCGAGGAGTAAATTTGATGATGCTGCGTTGGGTCGCGCTACTGACTTCTGCGTCTTGCGATTGCGGCCGAGAAAGGAACGCGTCTCGGCCTCTTGGGTTCTCGAGCCTGAAGACAAGGCTGCTATTTCTTACAAAGTTCACGAACCGAATTCGGCTTACAATGTGCCGAATGTAATAACTGTAACACCTCACCTCGCCGAGAAGGCTAATGAGATGACCTCGACCAACAAGGATTCGAAAACCCTTCTCGACCGAGACTTGGATAGGCAATCGACCGTTCTCGCCGCAGTGCTGTTTGATGCCAACGGAAGATACTGCGAGACCGACCGACTCTACGGTGACAGAGCTATCTATGCCGACTTAAGATATCACCGGTTGCTTCCACAGTGCTGTTGATGCCAACGGAAGATGTGTCAGCGAAAAAGGAAAAGAAAAAGATCTCAAGTTGTGAGAGTTTGCGCAGGGCAATTTTGTATTGATTTTTGTGGGGGCTTTTCCATTGCTGAATGTCTTGTATTTATAGAAGCAGAACACCGAGCCCGAGTTCTAATCCTATTCGAACTAGGTTTCCTTCTCCGGATTAACGTTACCTCAATCAGTCCTACCTCTGCTAGGACTACGAATCTAGTCCTTAACTGAGCCGGATTCGCCTTCTAGTTTTACTGATCTCGTCGAGGGTCCCTATTGTATTAGGACTCGACTTGCATTCTGATTTAACCGACCTAGGCCTAGAAGCCCATGAGCTGAAGCCCCCATGACTTTCTCGCCGTAGTCTTCCCGGGCCGAAAGTGATACCTCCCTCGGCCCAAACTGCTATTTTGGGCCCAAACAATAGTACATCACGTATCATAATGTAAATAGAGGAATATTGGGCAAGGTTTAGGAAAATGAGAAAAATTGGCAAAATACACTAATATTTACATTCACAATTTTACCATCTACTTTGCATACATGGTTAAGAGCGTTTATATCTGTCCTTGAGGTTGTCAAGCACTTAGAAACTACCAACTCAAATAGACCGTGTATAAAATTTTACAATTGTGGTTAATAAAAAAAAACTAAACCAACAAATATGGAATTGCACCGGGAAAACTGTAATTATATACGATGAACTCTAGTCCTTTTGCAAAGTCAAAGCAGACAATATGCAGTTTTTATTGTGTCACATCTAAAGTCCGACAGGTCATAAGTTCAATCGGCAACGGATCGGATGATTTACTACCAGGAACATTAGGCATTGAATTAGTCCAGTCGTTTACTGTTGAAACTAGATACAGATTCAGCCACCCACCAAAGAAGACCAAAACGAAAATCAAGAAAGTACACAAAAATGAAAAATTAGGGTTGGAGAGTAAAACTGAAAAAATACAAAAAAAAATGCAGATCTCATATAAAATTCAATCTCTAAATCGCATGGAGGTCTCCCATTTTTATCGGGGTTTTTTTCTACAAAGAATGTACACGTTCCCAATCACAAACCCAGATTACGGAGTCAAATGCCCAACAAACAAAAAAATTATATATATATATATCGAGAAAAAATACCAAAATTGAAAAAGAACGTGAAAAGAAACCAAAAATAAAATTAAGTTGTTGGCCAAAATAAAGGAGGAAAAAGGGTGAAAACCGATAATAACTTCAGACGCTACCAGCTGCGCCAGGCGTCGTTTTTGTTGGCTTCATTTTTGCAAAGTCAACGAGGTCTCCGAATAGCTTATCCTCTGGCCTGGATGGCTTGCTTGGTGGAACGTAAGATGGAGCAGAAACCTGGTAGGGGTTTTTCATACCATTACCATCTCTTACGGAAAGACCGTACATTTGCTGCTGAAGGGCGTATTGCTGTTGTTGCTGTTGCTCAAGGGCGTATGCGTGCTGCTGTTGCTGAAGGGCGTAGGCTTGCTGTTGTTGATATTGCTGTTGCTGTTGCTGAAGGGCGTATGCTTGATGCTGTTGCTGCTGTTGATCATAGCCGTAGGGGACTAGTTGATTACCACCATACATTTGTTGAGGATACATAGATGTCATCTGGCCTGCTTGAATAGCTTGTGGAGTCATACCCGTGTATGGCCCTTGGACCGGTGAAGAGGGCAAACCCAAATGATTGCTAGGACCAACCTGGTTATTGATTGCTGACAAATGGGTAGTTGTAATTGGCTGGATATACATACCTACAACCTGGTCGCTATGAGGTCCCTGGGGATGGAAACCACCTGGTGAATTGACCACCACCTTGGTAGTAACTTGCAGTGGGGGTGGAGAGAATCGAGAACCTGCTACTGGGCTGCCATCATCTATTGACTGAGCTTCCCAGGGAGGTGGTGGCAATGATCCACTGGTTGGTGAACCTGTCCAACCATGTGAAATGTGAGAGGTTACCTTATTCTAAAAAGTGTAAACCGAATAACCTTCTTCATGGCTAATACAATCACCAATAGCAGGCACATCACTTGCACTGACCAGGAATATAGGGGTATACTTTGGTTCATCTTCCTATATATACAAAAGAATGTAAATGAAACCAAACAGTATGGAGACTGAAACACCAAAAAAGTATTGAAAAGCGCACCATAGCCTGGTGAAGCCGGCTGCTGCTGCAGTGGTTGCGACTGCACCATCTGACCATTCCAGGCAGGAGCAGCACCATGTGCGAATGGAGACTGCTCATACTGAGGGACCCCCATAATTGGGCCATTTCCGTTCGGGAGAAATCCTGCTTGTGGAGATTGAAAATTCTGCTGCTGTGGGAATTGCGGGGGTGAAGGATTGGGTTGGCTGGCTGCATTAGTAGGATGGGTGTTCACAGGGTTCGGGACATTCTCAGTGCCAAACATGTCGATAAGAGCAAGGGCATTCTGCTGATTAATAGGAGTTGTTGGCTGTTGTCCCACAGGAACAAGAGCCAATGAAGCATCTGCCTTTGGTGAGACAAAGTCATCACCGCTAAGAAGATCCATCCTGGGATCGGCCTTTGCAGTAGAAGTTGAACCATTAGTAGTTGGAGGGGCAGTAAGCAATAACTGATTAAGTGGATTAGCACCGGAACCGGAACTTGAGGCGGATCTGCAAAAAAATTCCGGCATTACTATTTTCAATGGTTAACAAACACCAATGGATTAGTCACCATATATTGCAGTGACTGTGAGCGCATTAAAATCCTAATTACCTCCCATCAGGCTGTTTGCTGTCATTTCCAGTGTCAACTAGAGGACCACCAACATTTACAAGTGCTCCGTTAGCTGCAGGCTTGGGTTTATCCGGCTGAACTGGATTTCCAGAAGCAATGGCTTCATGTTTGGCTAGAAGACGTTGCAAGTCATCATTCAGCGCCAGCCCTTGACACAGAAGTGATTCATCCCTAACAAATAATAAGTAAAGAAATGGGCAAAAATTGCCATGGCAGTTACACATAAAGAACATAAAACACAAAGAATCCTAGACACAGAAGTGATTCATCCCTAACAAAAACCTTTACTAAGTAAAGAAATGGGAAAAATTGCAATGGCAGTTACACATAAAGAATCAATATAACCTATAATTATCATTCGAGCAAATCTTACATGGATGATATTAAAGATCCCGGATAAACATCTAGATCATATTTAAACTTCACTTTAAAAGAAAATTTCCATGATAAACGTCTACATCATGTAAACATACACACACATTTCGTTAAAAAAAATGAAAAGAAAACCAACTCCCATTTAAGGTCCTTAAATAGGGCTTGTTCCTTTGTTCGTTTAGTTTGTTTACAGAGCAAGCATCTAATGCTCAGACATAATTTCAAGTTATTTATTGGCTTGAATGATTATATCACAATATAACATACCAGACTGTTTTGGAAGTCACAATACCGTATATTTCCTACAAATAAAATAAAAAAAGGATTTGGAATTCTGTAGCATATTAGTTCAAAGGAACCTATATCAAGTCACTTTTTGTTTAACAATCTTCCTCACCTTCTTAAAACTTCTATAATTACTTAACTTCTTGTTTTCTTATTTAACCAATATGATCAATAATACACAAATACACACCATGCAACAAAAAGAGCCAATACAGAATAGGCAACTGCTTTTTTTTTGTGGAAAAGAGAAAAGAAAAGAAAGGTAGTTGGGAATATAGTTGTGGCCTTACGCAGTCGAGTTAACAAGGTGTACCACCCTCTGCTTATATGTTCGGCACTGGTCAACCAAATCAACAATCACCTCCTGTCTAAGCCCCTGCAAATTGAAAGAAAACTTGAGCAACAAGCAAACGGAGATTGAAATTATGATATTCAAGCATCTTCCTCACTGCACAGTTCCTTATAGATTTAAATTTTTTCTTCTCTTTATTAAAATGTTGTAATATCCAAATCTATCAAACGACTTGAAAAGGGCATAGTAACATTACTTCAGCTGTCATCATTTAATCAATATCACATTGTAATATTATTTTCTTCATATCAAAAACGATACATTTACCTCTTTGTTATCTATTGCAGTTAGCATTTCTGCCAGGACATCCATGATACCCCGTGCATTCTGAATTTCCGTCAAGCTAACCAAACAAAAAAAATCAATTAAAATATGAGAAATATATACACACACACACACACACACACGGCAATATTTCGACGGCTGCACACTATAAAGAAATAACAGTTTCCTTCTAACTTTCATTTTGACTACTTTTGTCCTTGGAATTTCTCACTGCTAAATTTCTTAGGATAAACCATTCAGAGCATTAAAATGGGAAACACCCAGTCTGCAAGTTGAAACTTGATACATCCCACCCATCAAAGATGCAATTAAGTGGAAGCAACACCAAGCATTGTCATCCAAAACCTAGCTTTGTCATCCAAAACCAAATTCCTGACTTGCATTCATGTCTCATCAAGGATGAAACATCATTTGCATTGAACCACACAGGACAGCAAGAACAAAACAAAAAAGAAAATCCCCCTTCACCATAAAGACCTAGTACATTCATACTTCCACCATACCATTGTATATTCATACTTCCATCATAGCTTTTACTATTAAATGCAACTATCTAAAGATGCCAACAAAGCCTGCCATACGTAGCCAAATTCCTATGTGATTGGATCACTAACACACGAAGAAAAAGAATCTCATAGAAGTTTTGCATCATTCAATCAGAACAAGGAGGAGTTACATGTGCACCTCAAGGTTGGGAACTCAGCCTCTGCAGAAGGCTCAGCTACATCTCTCGGACGATCTGGATTTTGCAAATTCTGAGGAAATGCTGACAATGGTTGTGTCTGGGGTGGTGTGAATACAGGCGCAGATGATTCAGATCTTTGAGGGAATACTGCTCCAGAACGCTGAAGAAATATTTTGACTCAGACAATGTTGAAGATTCAAGCGCTAAAACAGAATATAAGCAATGAAATAACAATTTGACACTGATAATGTAATATGAATGCTTCTCATATTAAGTTTTAATAATGAAGTTGTTTTATGAATAGAGAATTGTTCTTAATGAACATACCAACAAATCCTGGTATGCAGCATAGTATTGTGGATATCTTGCTCTCGGTCCCCCAAAAGCTTCTTGCCAGGTATCTATCAGGATCAATATCTTCTCTTTGACATGATAGTCCGGCTATAATTTGCATCATAAATACTATGAGAAAACTTAAATAGAAATGAAAGTGATATTGTATAACAAACGATCAGACCGCTGGAGGGGTACATGCTACCTTCTTTTTTGCTATTCTAACCATATCATGGAGGAGGTCTTTCTCTGCTACATGCATATGAACAATGTCTCCACAATTCTTTATTATTGTTTCCAACAGCTACAATGTAGCGAACAGACCAAAATAAAACCAATTTAGACCACTGTAATAAAATTTCGTTAACAATGACAATCAATGTGAATATATAAATGGCATCTACAGCAGAAAGGAATTGAACATAAATTTCAGTGAAATTTCCAGTAGACCATCAACTAGTTTTTTTTTGGTGCATATAATGGGTGTAGCGGAGATGAGGATGCTTCGTTGGATGTGTGGGCACACGAGAAGGATAAGATTAGGAATGAGGATATCCGGGGTAAAGTAGGAGTAGCCGAAATTGAAGGAAAGATGAAGAAAATCGGTTACGGTGGTTTGGACATGTGCAAAGAAGGCCTACTGACGCTCCGATTAGAAGATGCGACTATGGGACAGAGGTTCAGGGCCGAAGGGGTAGAGGAAGACCTAGGAAAACTTTGGAAGAGACTCTAAGAAAAGACTTAGAGTACTTGGATCTAACGAAGGACATGACACAGGATCGAGCACAATGGCGTTCTAAGATTCATGTAGCCGATCCCACTCAGTGACTTGGATTTTCCAAGTCTCCAACCGAGAAGTTTTCCTCACTCGGGAAATTAAGGGAACACTACCCCAACCTACATGCTCCACTCAGAAAGCTTCAACATACAAGCTTCAAAAAAGAAATTCAAAGAACTTAGCGAAGAAGGCTTTGGTGTATTTAACACAATACGTTGAAATGAAGGAAAGCTTATTTATTGATATCCCGATAAGCTACAAATATGTACATATACATGAGTCAAAATAAACACACAAGAGGGAGCCTTCACAAAGGTTGCTTAGGAGAAGTCTCAGCAGTCGGTAGAGCCCCAGAAAGAGAAAGGCACCGGAGGGGATCATCATTTGGAGCCTCAGTACTGGACAGAACCCTAGAAGGAGGAAGCATCAGAGGTTGATCATTTGGAGCTTCATTACGCGGTACAGTCCCAGAAGACGAAGGCAATAAATGCCTTTGGAACAAACAAACCCACAAATCTCTGATGATCAAGTAAAACCTGACCATCAGTTTCCTTCATCTGGTCAAGCTTCCTCTTCATGTTTGTAGCATAGTCATGTGCGAGCCGATGCAACTGTTTATTCTCATGCTTGAGCCCTCTAATCTCCTGTTTGAGACTCATCACTTCAGCCGCCAATGATTCAACTTGGCGGGTTCGAGCAAATAGGCGTTGGGCCATATTAGATACAGAACCTGCACACTGAACACTGAGAGCCAGCGAATCCCTTAACAGCTAACTCATCAGACCGTTTGGAAAGTAGTCTGTTATCTTTGGGAGTGAGAAGGTTCCTGGCCACCACCGCAGCGGTCATATCATTCTTCATCACGGAATCCCCAACGGTAAGAGGACCAGTAGGGGAGAACGAAGGATGGGCGCCATATGTTGTCTGGAGAAGGCGGGGCTGCCTCTTCAACAAGGTTCAAGTCAAAACGACGGTCGGAGGGGCCAGACATTTTCAAAGGGTGTTGAAGAGAGAAGAGGTCGGACAAATCAAGATCCTAGAAGTGCAAGAATGAAGCTTCTACTGGTGGAGATTCAAGTGTGCTTTGGAACTTAATGCCAGCCCTTATAAAAATCTGCACTCGACGGAGCTTCAGAAATCGAAGAGGCGCCTGCTCAGAAATCGAAGAGGCGTTTGCTTTCTCAAAAGCTGGGCTGCTTAGAGATTACGAGGGTTGATCTCAGAAATCGAAAAGGCGTTTGCTTTCTCAAAAGTTGGGCTGCTCAAAGACCACGAAGGTCGATCTCAGAAATCGAAGAGGCGCTCACTTTCTCAAAAGCTAGGCTCCCCAGAGACCACGAGGGCCGATCTCAGAAATCGAAGAGGCACCTACTTTTCCAGCCTTGTCAGCACCTGTCACACGCACACTCAGCTTTGCGGAAATTATGGGCATTCTGTCAAAGACTTCTGGGGAGGTAGAAAACACATGAATCTTACTGTTCAATCACCCACTTCCCACACGCAACAATAGCTCATGGGTACCACAGATAACTTTGCCAAAGTTCTCTGCCAAAGTTGAGCACGTGAAGCTTGCAGCTCCCACTACATCGCTCTGACCAAGAAGGGTAAAAGAATAGCAAAGAAACAGCACTAACAAAGTTTTAGACCCATAAATTTTGAAGGTCTAGCTACCATATTATTACCCACAAGGGTAAAGGAACAGTACCACTGCTGGATAATTGGAAAGTCCCTGTGTGTCAACCTCTGTGCTTCGTGGCAAGGTAGACTAGCAAACATGCCCAACCTTTACTCACATTCGAGAAAACACTCCCCCAATAAGATTGCTTGCTCCAAAATCGAAGAGGCACCGTCCTTCGAATCTCGAGAGCCAGACTCCCAACATGGACTACTTTCTTAAAAATCGAAGAGAGGGTAAAGGAACAGTACCATTGCTGGATAATTGGAAAGTCCCTGTGTGTCAACCTCTGTGCTTCGTGGCAAGGTAGACTAGCAAACATGCCCAACCTTTACTCACATTCGAGAAAACACTCCCAACAAGATTGCTTGCTCCAAAATCGAAGAGGCACCGCCCTCCGAATCTCGAGAGCTAGACTCCCAACATGATTACTTTCTCAAAAATCGAAGAGACACTGCTCCCCGAATCTCGAGAGCCAGACCCCCAGCATGATTGCTTTCTAAAAAATCGATGAGGCATCGTTCTCCGAATCAATCGAAGAGGCGCTCGCTTTCTCAAAAGCTGGGCTGCTCAGAGACCACGAGGGCCGATCTCAGAAACCAAAGAGGTACCTACTTTTCCAGCCTTGTCAGCACCTGTCACACGCACACTCAGCTTGAAGACTTCTGGTGAAGTAGAAAGCACATGAATCTTACTGTTCAATCACCCACTTCCCACACGCAACAATAGCTCATGGGTACCACAGATAACTTTGCCAAAGTTCTCTGCCAAAGTTGAGCACGTGAAGCTTGCAGCTTCCACTACATCGCTCTGACCAAGAAAGGTAAAAGAATAGCAAAGAAACAGCACTAACAAAGTTTAGACATATAAATTTTGAAGGTCTAGCTACCATATTATTACCCACAAGGGTAAAGGAACAGTACCACTGCTGGATAATTGGAAAGTCCCTGTGTGTCAACCTCTGTGCTTCGTGGGCAAGGTAGACTAGCAAACATGCCCACCTTTACTCACATTCGAGAAAACACTCCCAACAAGATTGCTTGCTCCAAAATCGAAGAGGCACCGTCCTCCGAATCTCGAGAGCCAGACTCCCAACATGACTACTTTCTCTCAAAATCGAAGAGAGGGTAAAGGAACAGTACCATTGCTGGATAATTGGAAAGTCCCTGTGTGTCAACCTTTGTGCTTCGTGGCAAGGTAGACTAGTAAAACATGCCCAACCTTTACTCACATTCGAGACAACACTCCCAACAAGATTGCTTGCTCCAAAATCGAAGAGGCACCGCCCTCCGAATCTCGAGAGCCAGACTCCCAACATGATTACTTCCTCAAAAAATCGAAGAGACACTGCTCTCCGAATCTCGAGAGTCAGACCCCCATCATGATTGCTTTCTCAAAAATCGAAGAGGCATCGTTTCTCCGAATCTCGAGAGCCAGATACCACAGACCACTTTTTCAAAAGTGCTCTGACAGAGTTTAAAACAGGTGAAACTGGCAGCTCCCACTACCGTGCTATGACCAAGCAGGTTAAAGGAATAGCATTACTACTTGTTGTTTAGGGAGACTCCTATATATGTCGACCTCCATCCCCAACGGACAGGCAGACCTGCAAAAATGCTCAAACCCTTCATCATATCTGAGAGGGCACTCCCAACGAAGCCTTTCGAAATATTCAGCTTTCTTTCCCCCCGATAATACCTCTGCAAACAAGCTATATACTAGAGCAAGAATATCTCATATCATCAGGGTTTAAAAGCAAGAGTATCCCATATCATGCTTTTTCCCTGTCTTTTCTTTTGGCCTTGTTTTTACCTGCAAGACAAGGAGAAAGAGAGCAAATCAGTCAGCACTTGGAATCAAGCTTCCAGCCAGGAACTGACTGCCTGGGAACCCCTTACCTGATTACTTACCTGGCATTGCTCTCGAGTACTCATCCTCAACATCTTATGTTTCTAGGGAAGATTCCGCATCTGCTTGAGGAACAGATAGGGCAAGTGCGAAGGATAACAAGGAAGCATGTGGAGACAAGCGTAACAGCACACGTGCCGATACATCCATTACTCTATCAAAAGCAAAAGTATCCCATATCAGCAGGGTGGAACGTACTCTAGATTTGATGGACTTGTTTTGACCCTCAAATTCTTCAGTCGGCCTTATACTCTGGAGGAAACCAGACAACCCTCCAGCTCAGTTCAAGAATAAGCCTGTGGAAAGTTACTTCTTCAAAAGCAAAAGTATCTCATATCATCTCTTCTCATTTTTCTTCTCTTTATCCTTCATGCTGCTGCAAGATGGGGAGAAGGTGAACAATCAATCGGAGCTCTGATTGCTTACCTTGTCTGTCACCTCTTTCAGCAGACCCCCTAGCTCGGCGACTTGGGGGACTCCTACTACATGGTTTGTATCGCGCTTGACCAAGCCTGAAACTACAAGTAAGGTTCAAGTGAAATTGATACATTACCTTGTGCATCTCCACCAGTTAAAGATACCACCCCTGGATGGAGGAAGAGTACTTCCAGAGAAGATGCTATATCTACCTATGAGACAGATAAGGCAAGTTAAGACGACACCACACTTCGATACTTAGAAGTTTCGTGATTACGAGATCATTCTCCCACAATATTTCCTAATGTCATTTGTACTAAATCATTCACTTGTACTCACTAAAGGAGAGCTTGAACCTATGTACTTCTGTAAACCCTTCACAATTAATGAGAACTCTTCTATTCCGTGGACGTAGCCAATCTGGGTGAACCACGTACATCTTGTGTTTGCTTTCCTATCTCTATCCATTTATATACTTATCCACACTAATGACCGGAGACATCTAGCGAAGATCACAAAAAAACGATCGTTTTCGCTACCTAGGATCTATCTTGCAAGAAAACGGAGAATTAGATGGAGATTTCAACCATAGAATACGAGCTGGATGGAAAGAGTGCATCTGGCGTGTTGTGTGACCGTCGTTGGCCACTGAAGCTCAAGGGAAAATTTTATAGGACGGCAATAAGGCCAGCGATGTTGTATGGCATAAAATGTTGGGTGGTGAAGCATCAACACGTACACAAAATGGGTGTAGCGGAGATGAGGATGCTTCGTGGGATGTGTGGGCACACGAGAAAGGATAAGATTGGGAATGAGGATATCCGAGGTAAAGTAGGAGTAGCCGAAATTGTAGGTAAGATGAGAGAAAATCGGCTCCGGTGATTTGGACATGTGCAAAGAAGGCCGACTGACGCTCCGGTTCGAAGATGTGACTACGGGACAGAGGTTCAGGGCCGAAGGGGTAGAGGAAGACCTAGGAAAACTTTGGAAGAGACTCTAAGAAAAGACTTAGAGTACTTAGATCTAACGGAGGACATGACACAAAACCGAGCGCAATGGCGTTCTAGGATTCATATAGCCGACCCCACTTAGTGGGAAAAGGCTTTGTTGTTGTTGTTGTTGTATATAAACTCTAAATCTGCCAGCTCTCCAGACTGCTGGATCTAAGCCATTCATCTCTTTTCACTTCTATGAACCGAGTATAAAGTATAAACACATGAGAGTAATCCGCACAGGAACATGTCCATCTTACTAAAATAAATTTTCTGTTTTCACACCGTACAAAAATTTCACCATGATTTGTTCTATATGAGAGTAGCACTGGTATTAAAAATCCACTAGGCATACAACAATAAATGTAAGTAAAGATCTATCATAATACATCAAAACTCAATGATTACTTGACCCAAATAGGGAAGAACATAAAGCACTGACAAACATACAATGACAATACAGAAATAAGACACACCATGCTAAAAGCAAAGGCATTGATCATAAATAAATAAAACACACACACACACACACACATCCATTAACAAGTTTTCCCGTAAGCTGAAGGAAACAATAACACAATTCAACCCGTAAATTAAAAGACAAGTACACTAATCAATAAGAGTCCTGGGACTAAAAATTTTTAGGTAAATAAAGTATAAAATTTAAAGAAATGAAAAAGAATGTACTGAAAACAACAAGGATTGATAGTCAAATTGGCCACTTCACTTAATTAAAATGAAACAGTTCCGTGGAGCTTACTGTAAGGGCAAGAAGTTGAACTTTTGAATTCTTACTTCCAAGGCGCTTCTTTATACCTTTAACAACATCCTTCGCTTGCCTGATATATGAAAACCAAACAGAGGGTTTGAATCTAGGTAATCTTCAACAAAAAGATCCAATCTAGAGAAGCATACATCCAGTTAGCTTGTGACAATAACTAAAATCAGAAGTACAACACTTGATACGAACACAACAGGGTGAAAAAGGCATTCTCGTGTCTATCACGTCTAACATGCTTTGTGTACATCCTAAATAACGAAAAAGAATTAGCATTTATGTGCATCATTAGCAGCTTTGGCATTCCGAACAATCAAAGCAACGTCTATGGCTTGTTTACGTTGCCCCCAAACCTATGGTATATGCTTATTACTACGAACTTAAGCATACGAATATACGACGAGCATTACTAATCACTCCTCCAATTGTAAAATATTGAGCTCAATTATACACACTGATCAGTAATCAGTCAAAAAACCATTAAAATGCATCAAATTGATTAACATTTCAGCTGACCACATTCAGAAAGATCCAATTTATGACATCATACGAACCCGCGCTCACAATCGAACCCACTAAATCGCAACCAGATTCAATTTTACAAACAAATTTGTAATAAATCGCCAGAATTTGTTCTTTTCTATCCTTTCCTATCATTTTTTTTGCACTTCTATCCTCGAATTCGCTCAGCAACCAAACACAAAGTTAACTGTTCGATCAAATTCAACCAGCATCTTCACTCCCTATTTGATTCAAAGTATACATATATATCATCACAAACACATCAAAAACTTAGTTACAGCAAAAATGATGCCAGGATCAAGCTAAACAAAAAAGAGAGAGTTATAATCGAGTGCACCGCATACACAGGGTCGTGGTTGCATATGTCACAGATATCGAGGTTCATGGCCCAATCAGGACCGATAAGCATGTCGCTCGTGGCGCGTTCCACCATATAATTCACCATCCCTCCTGCTCTTCCTCCGCCCGAAAGTCGCTGCCGCGATCCGAATACCACACCCACCCGCCTCCGATTGCCGCCAAGATCGCAGAAGACTCCAAAAATACGACGGAATCTTTCTTCCGGCGTCTCTCTCTCTCTCTAGAACTGCTTCTCTCTTTCTCTCTCTCTCTCTCTCTCTCTCTCTCTAGAACTGTTCCTCTGTGTGAGAGATCGCTGGCTTCCTCTTTCTTTTCTGTTGTTGAGGAACCGAATTGTTTTCCTTTTTCTTTGAATTGTTTATCGGGGATGGAACCAGATTTGACAGGCCAATGAGGTGAGGACACGTATTGGAAGTTCGGAGATTCGCGTGCCGCGGTGTGGTATGTGGTGTACTTGTTGTACACCGTTTGCTTGGCCTGCCTTTTTTCATCAACGGTTGACTCTCTTTAATTCTGTTATCTTCGTGTCACCGACTTTCCATTTGCTTCTTTTTTCTGTTTTTTCACCCGTGACAACATCTTTTGTTGGAATTTTGACAAATGACTTCAAAATTATCGCGGCTCAAAAATTCAAAGCATAGTGTAGTTGTTACCTAAGCCAGGGCTCAACAAACGGATGCCATTGACCAAAAAACAAATGACATGCCCATGTTATTTTTTAAATATTTCTAGAGATAAAGGGGTTGGTCTATTAGACGGACAAAGATTGTCTGCCCTCTCGTGTCTTTCTGTTTTGTGTGGTTACAGTTAAATCACATCAATATTTTATATTATTTTTAATAGAGATAATAAGACAAAAATGAATAGTAATATAAAATGTTGACGCGGTTTAACCGTGATCACACAAATAGAAAGGCACGGGAGGGCACCGAAAGTGGGAGGGTAGACAATCCTTGTCCCTATTAGACAACAAAGACTTTGAGCTCTCAACTCGAGTTTGGATTCCCATATATTCTTTTATGTCACGCTATGCTATAAGGAGGGATATTAGTTTGTAAACTTTGTATGATAGGATACCTTTATTTAAAACAAAAATTTAGAGATATTCTACACCAATAATTGCATGGGAAAAGCATACTTTTAGAAGTGGGGTAGTTTATGTGCAATTCAATTATCTGTTTAAAGTTATGGAAACTAATGAAAATACTTGAAAATTTTGAATTTTAACAATAATGACAAAATAAAGGGTAAAGTAAATAGTATCAAAATTGACTTTTTAGTGTAAAAATGTGGTTTTTCATTAAAGTTAATAGTACTTGAATATTTTCGTTAAAATTTCCTTAAAATAATTTAGAAGTTGGACTTGAGTTGATTTTTTTCGATTAAGTTATAAATTTGTAACCTAATCGAGTTTATTTGATATTTGAGTTATTTTTACTGAACAGATATTCAAATTTAATTTAAAAAAAAATCATTCTAATTATGAGGTGACCTCGAAATTATTACATTAATGTAGGAGAATTTCAAAATTAATGAGTAGGAACTCAATAATTAATCTATTAAGATATATAACGACATGCAACATGCGATATTAATAATAAGTAACATTATACCCTAAATTGATTGTGAATTCGTCATTATCAAAATTCGAACTTAAAATCGTTCACTTACAAGAGAACAAAATACCATTAAATTTTTGTTATTAAATTGTAGTATTAAGCAGCAAATTCCACCGTGAAAAATAATTTTCTATGCACCTAGTACTTGCCCCCCCCCCCCTCCTTTCGTAACTAGTAGTTTTCAGTTCCATGATCAACCCGAATTTTTACATAGGAGTAACATTAACCAATGTTCTTATTATAGAAAATGTATCGAAATAATAAAGGGAATTGTCATTGTCATTCAAAAAATTTCAGTTTAACTGCTTACAAATGTTTTTTGTTTGTTCTAAATATAGAAAGTTTAAATGCAAAATTAAAATTTTGGAGTATAAATAACATTTTTTTAATAATATTGACCCATTAATTTAACGACATAGTGATAATCCATTATTTAATTAAAAATGGACATTAGTTTCATACATAGTACCAACCTTTTTCACCAAATAATGTTTATTCAAAGGATAAGGCTAGGCTAATCAACATTTAAATAATAATTCAATTATCAACAACCATATCATATGATTTTAATAGATGATATTCCGCATTCCGCTAATAAGGTTTTCCTATGAAATTCCACATTTTGAAAACACTAATTTTGTACCATGGCTCGACAAAGCTCAACAGTTCAATTCGTCCGCGCATGCAGGTCCTCGCAATCCCGAAGATAAATGGCGTTATTCGTTCATCGACTACAATTGGAATGAGCACAGGCTGTCGGAGAAGGTAGAACTGGCAAGAGACCATGCTATGAAGGTGCTTAAATCTGCAGTAATCTTTATACATTAAACACTGAAAAATATATTAACATTCCATATAATAATACATCACAGCAGTTTTGGCTTGTTAACAGTAAAATAAAAACTCTGACTGGCTTTTACGACAGCACCGAAATAAATTTTATCATAACTAAATCGCCTTCCTTGAACGGTTGATCCTTCGTGGTCGAGAAAAGGATCTGGACAGAGCTCCGTGTACAGGAATAAATGTGGCAGTTGGGTAATGATACATTTCTGGCACTTGAAACTTCAACAGAATTGAAATGTCAGCTGGTGCCGGCTTAGTAAGGAATAGGTGCTCGGACAGAGGGCGGGCCGGATTTCATGTCCTCGATAATAAGATTCAGGAGAATCTGAGTCAACGAGCCTTCTTTACCTGTGTAATCAGCTCCAAAAGTTTCATTAGGCAACATTTGGAAATGGTAGTTAAAAGAAAGAAACACATCAAAAGAAAGGACAGGGCAGACATTTGGTTGGTCATTCATTCGGTTAATTTATGTTCAAAGTTACACAGGATGGAGATAAGTTCTTACCATCCCCAATGATTTGCTCGTCCCACTGCACCACAGGGCGGACGAGAATTCCACTGCCAATAAGCATCATCTCATCTGCCTTCTTCCCTTCCTCAACAGTCACATTGTCTACTCTTACTCCCCGAAGCTTGCCATCCCCCACCAGCCCTTCTGCAAGAGCCAAAACTCTCCTTGCTGTGCACCCACTTAGGATTTTGTCAAACTGAGGCATCACAAGTTCCTTCTCTTTTGTAACAAAAGCGACATTCATGTTAGGCCCTTCAGCGATGAAACCATCTCCGTCCAGCCAAATGGCTGCGAATGCACCCTTTTCTTCAGCCTCCATCTTCGAAAGCACATTTGGAAGATAATTTACACTCTTCATGGTTGCAAATTGGGGGGGTTTTATTGGGATCGAAGAAGTTACTACTTTAATTCCCTTCGAACTAAAGGGTGATTGATCTTGGATCACAATAGCATAAAGCGATGGCTGATGGCAGCCAGATGGGGACAACTGAAAATCACCCGGTCCTGCTGAGAGCCAGTATCTCAGCGATCCTGTTTTGCACTTGGAAACACTCACAGTTTGTAAAAGTATCCTTCTTATGGTTTCCCGATCAAATGGCAGGTCAATTTTCGCCATGGATGCTGACCTTAAAATACGGTCAAGGTGCTGGTCCAACTCATAGAGATATCTTCAATGCAGAGAAGAGAGAACAATAAACAAACTTGAACTTACTGACTAATAGTCTAATTCACATCTACAGCACTGAAAATCTGTGTGCGTGTGTGTTAAGATCATACAAATTTTCAAAATCCATGTTCGATGTTCAACAAAAGTTATCCAGACATCATAAGGCCAAACTCACTAACCCATCCTTTATAGCAGCAGTGTCGAAAACACCATGCCCTCTGTGGACCATGTGGTCATCAATGGGAATCACCATAGCAGCTGGATCCGTCGTAATTCCTCCGAAAACGCTAGAGTACATGGCGAGAAATTGTTGCTTACCATTCTGATTTTCACGGTGTGCTTTTAGCCTTTCAATTGCCTTTCTACATAGAAAAGTTCAAATATCATAAAACAGAAGAAAGAAAAAAAGTCTAGGACGTCGATATTTAGTAATTAGTACTAATCCCTGAAGTCTGAACTAATCTTTTCCAAAATCAAACAAGTCTCAAACTTTACCACACTTCATTGCAGAAAATATTAACTCAAGACACCAATTAATCTTTTTTCACTTATTTCGCTGTACTTTTCTAACTTTTACTGCAAGCAAAGAACTTTAAGAACAGTACTAAAGCATATAGTACTATACGGAACTAGGGAAATGATTTCCTCGCACTCCTGTTCTTTTTATGCACACCCTATTTAATTATGTCCGTTGATTTTTCTTTCGTTTATTGAATCCAAGAACCATAAACGAATACGGGTGTGCAAAAGAGAGATAGGGAGAGCCGAAATCACTTCCCAATTATATATAACACAATTCAAAGGCGAGAAGATGACCTCTGTGGAAGTCAGCTGTGGAACCTCAGGGACTTGGATCCCAGAATCTGGCACAACCAATATTAAGTGAGTACTTGAGATTTTTTAAAAATATTGGACATGTTTATAAAAGCGATTATGAACAGAAGTGCTTCTACGAACTTACCGGACACAGCTTTGGTTCGGTTCGAACTTCTGATGGGCCTCATCTCTCCGGCTCCGAACGACCCATGTTGAAAATTAAGCAACCCATGTCCGGAAAATAGATGATTTCGTGAAACTACGGTCAAACCCCTTGAATGGCGAGCTGGGTTTATAGGAAAATGCTGGGTTTGCGAGATGGGTTTTGGGAGAGACGGGAGGGAAGCCATGGAAGCCATCGGAGAGTGAGCTCTGCGAAAACGCAGACGTTAATCGGTGACTGAGGTTAAGAGTTGCCTGGGTTCGATTAATACTGGATCGTAGGTGGGTCCCGCCTTTACATTTACATAATCCTCGTGTATTACCACCACGGCTTAAGGTGGCGCGTGCAGTGCACACTACGGGGTTTTAAGGATAGGTTTTGAGTTTGGAAAAGATCATGTGTATAACATGGAAAAAAAAAATACTATTACATTTCGTGTGAATCATATTTCAGATCGTTTGGTGTTTCCTACCCACTCATGACAGGTAGGATGTCTCATTTGATATAGAGCTAAATTCAATTTTTTTGCATGTGATTAATCATTTTAATTTCATGATTGATTACATTTCATTCAAATTAGTTGAAATGATGTGATAATTATGACTTTATTTCTTCTCTGTAACAATTTTTTGACAATCACAAAATGACAACAATTCTTTTGAGTTTTTAATTTGCCATTTCAAAGTATTGTATTAAAAAATCAA